CCGGAGACAGGCAGTCCTTTGGGCTCCTCTTCCTCAGGAGCGCTCCAGAAGGCTGGTCCACGCTCGTGGGGCGCTCAAGTTCTCGGGCTAGGTCTGGGCTGTTCCCCACGGCGGCGGCCCCGAAAAGCCGAGGGAGAGGAAGCCGCTCCCGACCGCAGGGCCGGATAAACGGCAGGTCCGACCACGTCTGTGCATTGGCAAGCCTGGAGCGACAAATGCAGCCAGCCGGAGCGCCGCCGCGGACGGTCACCCACGGGCACAAGACGCTCACGCTGAGGCAGCTCGGAGAGCCTCCAAACAGGAGGAAGGACCCCGTGGCTGGTGGCCGGGCCCTGGGCTCCGCACGGCACAGCACCGAGGCTTGCGATCGGCTGAGGGGCTCCTCCTCCTCCTCCCCCTTTCTGGCTGGAGCGCAGCCATCTCCAGCCACAGGGAAAGGGCGGCCTGGCGCTCTGTGGACACTTCTGAGTTCTGCCCAGGGCTAGAGGAACCGGCACTTGCACACACCCAGACTGACGCAAGCGGCAGGTCGGCTGTCTGCTCTTCAAAGCGTTCCCTGGCCGGACGGAGCCCCGGGGACGCCTCCCTTCCTTGCCCGGCCGGGGGCAGAGTGCCGGAAGCACCCACGCCTGGTTGGGAGCCTCGGGCGGTGCAAAAGACAACGTGGCACGTGGCCCGGTCAGGCGGCCTTGTGGTCCGGGTGGCTCTTGAGTTTGTGGAACTTGACGCTGTCCAGCTTCTCGAAGCGCTTGCCGCAGTGCTCGCAGGTGAAGTTGTAGTGGACGTCAGAGGTGTGCTTCTTCATGTGCCAGTTGAGGGAGGCCCGCTGCCGACACTGGTAGCCACAGATCTCGCACCTGCAGGGGGGGGGGAGAGTCAGGAGGGACGAGAGAGGGGCAGCCGCAGAGAGCCCACATGGGACCGCCCTTCTCTACCCCTGCGCTGCAAGAGAGGGGCCTCTTCCCTACGATGGAGCACAACTAGAGATGTAAAATTTCTGGAAATTCTGAAGCTTGGAACAAATGGAAATTTTCGGAAAAATTGAAAAAAAAAATGCTACATTAGCACTTCTTTTTTCTTTTCCAGATTGGAAAGTCATTCTGTTACTTTAGGAACATAAACTATGACTATGGACATTTTTACTTGGTGTGAAATTATCACAACTAGCCTATTAAAAATATAGTGTATCCAAACAAATATTACCATCAGAATACCCACCCACATGCAAAAACAAAACTGAAACCTTTTTCTTTTCTTGTGACAACAGCACCTCCTAAAGGAAGAAATGCCTCTTGTTCTTGCATTGGAGAGTTCGGTTGGTAACCTAGGACTTGCTTGTCCTCAGTGCACAGAAATTAGATCAATCTGATACCATACATATTTTTTAGAAATGATTTGGAAAATATTTTATTAATCATGTTAAAATAAAAAGTTCCATAATCAATGTTTTTCTTTTCTTTTTTCAATGTTTCCATTTTTTTGGAAAAACACAAAAAAAGGCTTCAGGAAAAAAACGGGGGGAAACTGTTTCCCCCTGAATTTTTCCGTTTTCCCCCCCGGGACTTCACATCTCTAAGCAGAACACCCTGCGTGCAACAAGCAGCCGCCCCACCTGAGCAGCTGGGGCCAGCCGTCTCCAGGGGTGTGTGTGAATATTCTCAGGTACGGCTCTGTGCTTCGTCTTGGAAGGAGACCATCAGCGAGGGAGATAAAAACAACAGAAAAGTCTGTTGAATCAATGAGGGTCCATCTAGTGCAGCCTCCTGTCTCACACAGTGGCCAACCAGAAAAGGGCACAGAGCCCGCGGCCTTCCCCTGATGTTGCCTCCTGGCTCTGGGATTCAGAGGTTTAGTGCCTCTGAACTTGGGAGATTCCCTTCAGTCACCATGGCTGGTAGCCACTGACAGTCCTCGCCATTTCAACTGGCGCCCCCTTCTGTCAGAGGCTTTTGTTGTTGTTCAGTCGCACAGTCGAGTCCAACTCTTCGCGACCCCATGGATCATCTCCCGCCAGGCCCTCCTGTCTTCTGCCATCCTCTGAAGTTGGCTCAATTTCATGTTCGTTGCATCGATGACACTGTCTAACCATCTCATCCTTTGCCGTCCCCGTCTTCTTTGACCTTCAATCTTTCCCAGCATCAGGGTCTTCTCCAGTGAGTGCTCCCTTCTCATTTGGTGGCCAAAGTATTTGAGCTTCAGTTTCATTATCTGGCCTTCCAGGGAACAGTCAGGGTGGATTTCTTTTAGGATTGACTGATTGGATCTCCTTGCAGTCCAAGGGACTCTCAAGAGTCTTCTCCAGCACCATAGTTCAAAAGAATCTATTCTTCGGCGCTCGGCCTTCGTT